GAATGACCGGCAGAAAACAAACTGACCCGTCAAAGGCTCAAAGATGTAGAAATAGTCAACAGTCAATGGGCGGCATTAATGGGTCTTGCCAGGGCTTTTGTGAGACCCAAAGACCCAAAGAGATGGTGCCGAGCCAAGAACGAAAGGATATTGCAAATTTACCAAACAACGGAAGCGGAAGTGCAAAACTAGCAGGAAACGCACTCACACCGAAACAAAATCGATATCTGTTTGTCTCCAACCACTGGAGCACACACACACACTATCAGTAAAGGAAGCAGGGAGCAAAAAGAGGGGATCCTTGGCTGCTTCGATGTATGCAAATGCCGCTCGTTACATTTGCATTTGGCCAGCCAATGAACTTACTCTGCTGCTCCTGCTGCTGAACGAAAAGTAGATTTAGATAAATTCACTTTCACAATTGACACTATAAACAGATTGCGGTCCAAATTGCTGGCCACAGGAAGAGCATTAGGAGGAGTTTAAGCAAAAACTCAAAGAAGGCCCCCTTTCACAAATTGAAATTGTGCAACTAGCCAATGGAAATTGCAGTTCGACTAATTCGACTGGCTATCTTGCCAATTCAACGGGCCACAATCGCCATCACAACCAGACTTGGCCATAATTAGCAGCCACATGCCTTGCATAATTATCAATTTACATTCGATTGCATTTGTTTATTTGCAAAAATAATTATTTGCATGCAAAAATAATTGCAATGGCTATGCAGTTGCTGTTTGTGGCTTATTTGCCTTTGTCTGGGTAAGTTAATTGTTAATTAGTGGCCAGGTCAGAGATTTCACCAGCAGGTGCTGGGGCTCAAAAACACTCCTACTCAGGCAGGTCCTTTGCCCATTTATCAGCAGAGGATTTGCAGGACGAGCGCTCATTACCACGCACTTTCTCCTAACTGCACACGCACCATAAAACCCAGTTACGTATGCAGCAATTTTCCAGGCACCACCCCCCAGAAAACGCCCTCTAAAAGTCCCGAAAGATTTATGACAATGTCAGGGGGTCTGGTGGAAATTTAATCAAACGCCGAACAACCCTTTCGTGGGTTCCAGAAATCAAATTTTGAAATTTGCAAACTGCGTCTGGGCGAAAACTTTCATATCCACCCGGAAAAATTTGGGGGAAGGAGTACGGTAGCAGAACCGTAATGGAAATGGCCGAAAATTGCGGGGATCACATTCCACAGCCAGGAATGTGGACCACTCGTTCCAGAAACATGTCCTTCAAATACAATACTTACAGTCTACTTGTAAACATATGAGGTGAAAATACAAAGAAACAACATTTATATGTTTTAAAATAAATCTTAGTAGAAAATCCTTTAAATATATTACCTTTTTTAAGCCTTTCCTCTATCTATAAAGATCATATATGAAATAGATAGAATTTATTTTTCATAAGACGAGATAATCAAAATGTAGTCCTATTATTTTAACCACAGCTGTTTATACACATACTTCACGGAATGAAACAGATTCTATGCCGGGTATGTGTGCGTGTGCATTCGGGTAAATTTCATCTTGGAGCGGCAACATAAAAACGTCGAAAACATGGCAAACATTAACGGAAAAACAATTTTCATAAATCTAGAATTATTACCCAGGAACCGAGCACAAAACAACAAAAACAGCAAAAAAAAGCAGAAGGAGCTCCGGGAGAAAGCGGAAGTACGCTGTGTGTCCATTGAGGCAACAAATTTGCCAAAAATAAAATTCCAACCAGCATATGGATGATGGAGGTCTGTGAATACCCTGCCGAAACCGAAACCCTTGTGTCGAGAAGAGTGACCCCAAGCCGAACCCTCGCGAAAAACTTTTCTTGGCAAACATATTTGCAAACGCATTTAACATACGATGGCACGAATATTATTTCATATTTTACGCCTATTTCGGGGTTGTTTTTTATTTATTTTGTTTTTGTGATCCGATAAAGAGGGCAGAATGGGAGTGCTTATGTAATTGCGAAGCGTTTGGCAAACAAGCCGCCGCCATAAATCACATAATTCACGCTCCATGGACAAGAGTCCTTTCACATTGTCTTTCTCCCACTTTTGCCCTGCGCTCTAATTCGATTTTTGCAATCGCTTTGAAGTCCACTCAAATTTCAATAATTCTCCTTTTCCATCGACATGCAAACGCAAACAAATTATAGTAAGAGGAGTGAAGTGGGAGAGTGCAGAAAAATTATAAGAGAAAAAAAAGAAAAGGAAAGTGGAGGCGAGGAAGGAAAAGCTGAAGAAACTGTCGCTGTGAAATCTGTTATTAAGCCATTTATAGTTAAGGCAAACAAAGCGAACGACACTTGAATGCTCGAGTGCTTATAGACACACTTTTCAATGGCTTATCAAAATCTTAAGCTGACGACAATGGCAGCCCGGCGACAAAGGAAAACCCTCGCCTTCGCCTTCGCACACACATGCGAGACAATTTATAAAATTAAAAGTCTTGGGAAGCAGGCAAGTGAAAGAAATGCAATGCGGCAACAAAAGGGGAAATGAGTGCCGCCGAAGAAAGACAACTCCCCGAACGATTTCCCGGCTTTTCCGCTCAGCCGATTGGAAATCCGTTACTGTGCAGCAGTTCGATAAAAGTGAGTGGGTGAAACCGAAAGTTTCCCTCACTGCATTTGGCATGTATGCCGCACATATTAGTTCGCAGAATGCCTGCCAATCATGAAAGGGAAGTCTGTGTGTGTCAAGTGGTCATGACAAATCCGCCAAATACCAAAAGCGGTTTCGCAATTTGCATATGCAAGGCAAAAGGGATTAGGTACAGGAAAAAAAGAGTTTTTAGCTTTAGGAATTTTGTACAAAATTTTATAATATAACATTTAAGAAATTACAACATTGGCGGATTTAGAATTTGGTTTTGATGGGGATTTCAAAAGAAGTTTTCAGTTAAATACTTTTTGGATACCAATTTTCTTTCATTTTTCAACCGACTACACGGCTTAAGAAAAATTATATAAATTTTAAAATTTATTGTTCAAAGTTTACCAATATATTTCCAATGCAAATATATTTTTTTTCTGTGCATCTGTAAATCGTCGCATAAAGTAGTAGATTAATTTTGCGCGCATTTAAGTAGGCAACACCATTCCATCCTCCTTATTCCACTAGCCACTTTCCCCATTTTCATTTTCAGGCTTGTGACACATGACAAATCACAAACGCAAGCAGTTTACAATTGATGTTAAATCAAAGCAATAAATGTGTGTGTGTGTGGGGGCGACGTATTTGTCACCCACACTCAAAGAGCAGAAACGTGACAATTTCTGTCATTCCGCCTGGGGGCGTATCCGTTTCCGTTTGACTTTCACTGCACTGCGACGACGGCTGTTTTTTGTTTAACTTAATTTTCGGCTGCGCCCAAATGCTCGACTGGCTTTGGCTTTGGCGCCACCTTTGTTTATGCTCTGATTGTTGTTTATGTGAAGCGGGCCACACACACAATATGCAAATGCCAGGATGCCCGAATGCCAGAATGCCAGGACACAAGGACACCCGAATGCCAGAATACCAGAATGCCAGGCCAACGAAACGGACAAAAGGATTGAGCTTCGGGTTGACAGCCGTTTGACAAAAGGGAAGCCTAAACTTTTGGCCCGGCTTAAGTGCCACGGCGAGCATTATTCACCTGGTTGGCCACGTTCCCTTTCACAAGTCTCCCATCTCCAATCTCACCCGTCACCCGTCACAGGGGAATTTCCACGGGCCTACGTGAGCAAAGTGGAGCAGCACGGACTTTTCTACGGCAAGTGTCAGGCTTTAATCAAGTGTCAAACACCATGTCTAAATTAACATTCGGGACGTGGCGTCGAAATCAATCCGTTTGCCAATCAGCATTTACAAAAATTACGCTTGTGAAACGATATTGTTATGGAAAAATACAAAACCAGCCACATATTGTCAACTTAGTTTCAAATAAAGCACCATTTTGAACACCAATTTAATATTTAAATATATAAAATATTTTAAAATGCTTTCAACATTTTGCAACACAAATAACTTACAGTAGCATTATTCGAATTTATTAAAACGCATAATTTATATTGTCGACAAATATCTATTCAACAAGTTCGGCTAACTTAAACAAACAGTTATTCAACTTTTTAACATTTATTTGGCCATATTGAAAATTCTTTTATGATCCTTTTATTAAGAGCAGTTCAAATAAGTCAAAACAAAGGGATTTTTGCAAGGCCTAAATGAAAATCTGTAATTTTAATTAGTACAAATAAAATAAAGGATGAAATTGCGATGGTTTTAACAAAAGATTAATTTAAGGATTATTTTTAAATCTTTTGTGTTCTTTTCAAGGCAATATTTGTGAACACAAAAACCCTATCATAAATTAGTTATATTTGTGCATTAATTGATTTTGCTTAATAGGCTTTGTTTAAAAATGTTTAGAAACTTTTATACTACGTTTGTTGCAAATTTTTGTATTATTACTTTTTTCCCATGTCTCACACGTCTTAGCCATCTTTTATTAGCCAAATGCAGGACTTGAGGACCCATCGAAAGTTTTGCGAACCAACGAGAGTCCTTGAAAACGAAACTTACCGACGAGGGTGCTTCACAGTCGCACCCCGACTATAACCGAGAATAAGAAGTTGGGGGCAACTTTTTCAGATATTCCGAGCACCTCAGTACAATGGCAGGCGAAATTGCCGGCTGACCGCCCATAAATGCATTGAAATCCAGTGCAGAAATTAGAGGAAATCCACAAATCGAAGCAAACTTTCTCCCCTTTACCGCCCGGCCCAGTTTATTGTTCGCAAATTTCCCTGGGGCCTTATAAAGTCCGAGCACCATGCACCATCACCACCAGAATTTCCGTAGTGCAAACATTTGCGCTGCTGATTACTTTTAATGCTTTCCATCGGCTGTGCGAATGTGTGTGTGTGTGGTCCAAGGGGTGGGCGGGGAAATCATCAAGAGGCCTAGGAACATCAATCAGTTTGAGTTTGGCCGGAAAAGAAAATTGACCCAAATTCTGAGCAAACCCAAATCGTTTTCACCGCACCACCAGCTAAATTCGGAGTTCCATCACTCGTGGTTTTCTTCTTCTGTTTATGATAGTTTGAAATAGCCAAATATGACGCACTTCTGGCCTCTGATTTTCCTTTGGGCCCGCTCTACTTCGGGAATTTTCTCTCACTTTCTGAGCGACAACAATGGTGAAAACTGGACCAGTCGGATACGAATATGGCCATGGTCCTTCGTTTTGCATGCCACCTCTGGAATCTCCTCTGGAATCGCCTCCAATGGAAATACTAGTAATACCATTAAGCGACGCGGACCTTTAAGCTCTCATCGAGCTTCGTTCCGTGATTATACCATCAGGCAGTATGAAAATCGACTCAGATTGTTCTCGCATCCCACGAAGATTTTTCGCTACTTTGCCACCATAAAGATGAAGAACAAATCCGGCAAATGGGAGCTGTACATGACTGCCAGAGATTTCCTGAGATCCATACAGCCGGGGGAAATTCAGCCACAACATTTGGGCTTGGACAAGTTCCATGTTCTCGACGAGAAGGCGGCACAGAAATGGCAGCCGGATGTCAGTGACGACAGCATCTTCCTGAAGATCGAGAAGCGGGGCCTGCTGACCTACAGTGACTATGTGCTGCTCTCAATCCTGCTCTCCATTCCGGAGCGAAACGTTCGGATTGGCTTCAAGCTATTTGATGCGAATGGTGACGGCGACGTGACCATCGAGGACATGGAACAAGTCCTTGTGGCCATCACCCAGGGCGAGGCATCCGTGATGAACTCGCACCTGAGAAAGTATCTCTTTGACTCGCGATTCAGTAGGACCATGGGTATTAATGACTTCCTGGAGTTCCTGCAAGAGCTGCACACCGAGATCCACACGCTGCAGTTTGAGAATCTCTTGAAGGGGTCAAGGTATATTTAGTTTATCAGGTTTAATTATCAAAGATTTAGTTTTGGTATCCCCAGATCGGTGATCTCCGAACTGGACTTTGCCAAATTGGTGCTGGGCCTTCGAAATTCCCACAGTGAGCGACTCGAAACGCTGCAGCGAGTCAAGAAGAAGTTTGGAAATATGGATCGCGGAATAAGTCTGGAGGAGTTCTTGGCCTTTTTTCGGTTTGTCCAGGATGTGAGTGTCATGGATAATGCCCTCGCCTTTTACTACTTCACCGGGGCGGACATTTCACCCAAAACACTGCGACACATCTCACATGTAGTGACCGGCGTGGAACTCTCCGAACACCTTACGGATGTGATTTTCTCCATCTTCGATCACGACAGAGACAACATTATTCAGCGCAACGAATTCACCAAGATGAGGCGCCAGTGGATGCATCCCGTTCCGTTGCGAAAAAATCTGAGGCTCTCATCCACGATCTGCATTGTCTGCAAGTGCATCTGGAAAATACTGCCAACCTGGAAGTCGCCCCTCTAGTAAGGTCCCTTGGGGGAAAACGCTTTTAACTCACTGACAATATTACACTGTAGAAAATAACTTAAAAATGTCACTTTAATTCGGTCTTCTTTTGTATCAAATTTAGGTATATGTGGTTTACACTCAATAAAAGCTTTTTATTATTATTTTTAGTTATTTAACTTTGGCTGATATGATATGCATACTGCATACTACATACACAATATAAGATTTTCTCAATGCTTAGAACAAAAACACGGATACCGACAATTGACTTAATCCTAGGGGGAACGAGTTGGAGCTCGGTTCACAAAAGCGCAGTCTGTTTGCTCTTGTCTTGAAACGTTTCAACTTCACAAGCCGCCAAGTTGAACGAGTTGAAAAATGAAGCGAGTCTACAGGATGAAATCCATTTTGTTGTCCCGACACTTGAGTTGCGTGCGAGCGATGGGAAAATTCAAATAAAAAGCAGATTCAGCGCCTCCTGCAAGGGGGAGCCACCACCCACCATTCACCACCCAGCACCCACGACCCCAATCCCAACCCATTCGACCACGTGGCTTACATGACTTTGAACTTTTATCACCTGCTGCCAAACGCTGCCAGGCAGCCAAAAAGTGGGAGTGGAGGTGGGCGGGTCTGGGCTTGGGTTACTGGGTGTAAACCAGCACTTACCAAAACAATTTTAAATACTTGCGGTAGCACGCACTCGAGGGTCGACAGCTCCACAGCTCAGCAGAGTTCCTAGAGCGCCGAGACAATAGTTTGCCGCATAGAATTTATCTGGACATTGGCAGGCAGCCACAAGTTGATGACCGTAGGACAATTAAGGTCCCCGGGCATTCGAGATATTTGTATAATTTACTCCCCCGAAATGTGTGTCGGCATTATTAAATGAAACGAATCCGTTGTCACGTCTAACTGGAAAAGGTGCCCGTAAATAATAATTATTATTGTTAATTGTAATGGCTGGGACACAGATAGGAAACTAAATTGGGGATAACGAGCAAGTTTGTCTTATCCCCAAATCAATCAAACTGTTGTGATAATATCCTACAATGAAAATTACAGTCCATCGAAAAGGAAAAAATTCCTGACTATCCTGACGACTATCATTTATGCACGCGGAAAAGACTGAAACTTTTATCAATTTAGTAGCTGCGGCAGTCCATGAACTCCATAGTTTAGACGCTCATAAACATGTCGGGGTTACCACCTTGCCACCTTGCCGCCTGGCAACTTTCCCATAGCACTTTACAAAAATCAAACTCATGGGTGTTTACACGTGTGCCTTGTATGTAGCCACTATGTAGCTGGTAGATATAGATACGAAACCCTCGCACTTGTCTGTTCGCAAAACTTTGAAACTCGACGCGTCAAGGAAGTGCGATAAAAATAAACATGGAAGTTCAGGGGCCGGAGCAGCAGAACGCAAACGCCCCCAAAGTGCAACCGCAAGGACTTGAAAGTTATTAGAAAGAAATGCCACAAATTTTAGTTGCAGGCCAGAAATCAATTAAATTGGCAAACAGACGAAACCGGACCGACTGCTTCGGTAAGCCATAAATCAGAAATTATTATTTCACCCTCGAACGTTTTTGGGGATCTCACAGTGTGTGGCGTGTAATCAAGAAATCAGCATCAACTGTCAATTGGATTTCGTTTTGAATAAGTCACAGGAAATTCTCAATTTCAAATAAATATTGACCAGCCTTGTTATTGTTATTGCCAGTGTCCTGGCCAAAACGCAAAAAGGCATTTACAACATTTTAAATTTCGTAGTCAAATTACTTTGCTCATGTGCTCGACCACAAATTCTGCTGACTGACCTGAAACAAAAATGCTTCTGTCTCTTCTCGATTTTCAGCTGGCCAAATTGTGTTTGAAATGCTCGGTCGAAGCAATAACGTTTGACTCGGCCTCCTCGAAGCCAGGCCCATATAAATTCATACCACTTTTTGGGACCTTTGCCGGGCGCCCCCCCTTTTATGTGTGAGATATTCAAATTTATAAATTATGCAATTTTATGGTTTTAAGGCGTAGAATGTGCAAAAATATTATTTTACACACATTCATGCTCGGGCATGGAAACACACAATTTTCAGCTGCACTGGTCCCCCACACACTTTTGCCTTCCAGCACCTCCACTTTAACATAATTTGCATGAATTTGGGTTGCTCTAATGCTCCGCTGGCCGGATGCAGGGTGGTTGGGTTTTGGCCGAAAAGCGTCACTTATCTGAATTATGAATATGCAGGTGCTTATCGGCCGGAATATACTTGCATATATGTACATATATTTTCAGGCGGGTGGCTGTGTTAAAGATTTAAGCAGCTGCAAATTATATTTACCATCAAAGATTGGCAAAGCCCTAAATCTCACCGGCAAAAGTCAAATGCCTGCAATAAATACACCTTTAAGGAGCATTTAAATTAACTTCTGCCCCACACCTGAGTGGCTGGATAATTAAGTTTCACGACTTTTGCCGGCTTTAAGCCCTTTTCCGGCCCTGCTGGCATCGCTTTAACGTCCCGAACTCCTGCTCGCATTGAAAAGTTGCCATTTAAAGGGATTAAAAAGTTTTTCACATCATTTCCTGCCGATTAAAATGTTCAGCGAGCGACGACGACACACTGCGAAGTGGCTAAGCCTTAACTATTGCCATGGCATCGTAATCGGCATCGGAGTTTGGAGAGCGGGAAGGGGGTTGGGGGTTAAGGATGAGGACACAAAGGATTCACATGTCGCCGAGCAAAGTTTTGCATCAGTCTGCGCTCTAGTAAAGCTACATTTACTTACAAGTTGTAACTTACGACAAGTATTAGCACAAGTGCTCTTAAGGGGCCCGAGATTGCCTTATACTTTTTAAATTTCCCTAAAAATGCGACAGTCTGACTAGGTTCATCAACAAAAAAACAATATTCGATTGTACCAACTTTGAGATACCCAATATAAACTCGAACAAATTAAATCATTTCTGGAAAGCTGAAAAATAATTACTAATTACATCACATCACAAAAATTTCGGTTTTATCGCTTTCATAAGTTTTGGGTTTTAAATTTTTAAGAAGTATCAAAACCGACGTAAATTTTCAGATTGAGTATATGTACACGATATACCCTTAAACTCTACCATTAGGAGGTACACGAATCCTCAGAGGGCAAAAATGTTCTGCGGCTTGTTTGATTACGTTTCATCAAACGTGCCTAAAATTCTAAAAGCACACATGTCAAACTAATAAAGTTTAAGCGAGAACGTTTTGATAACAAGGCCAACAACAAGAGCATTCACATAACAACAGGCAGTAAGTTGTTGGGCTGAGCTTTTTTTTTATTTTTTCTTTTTTTCCAGCACAGGCCAGACTTTCCCCTTCCCCAGCATCAATTTACATACACACTCCGCCAGACAGAGGCAAACGTTTGTACATTTTAAATGCTGTGACATGAAACCGGGTAAAAGTTATTTAAACTTTTTCCTTACCAGCACACAGACTTGTATCAAAATCATTTCTCTGGCTGCTCTGATGAGCTCCGCTCATAAACTAAGGGGTATGTTTGTTGGCTTGTTTGGCTGAAACGAGCATCCAAGCAGCCAGCCATCCAGTTGGCATCAGCATAATGATGATGAATGGCCCCTGCTGACATATGAAGCGCATTAATACAGTCTGTGCCATCGGATCGGAGGTGGGAGTGGGGCAGATCCCGAGGAATGTGGGGGAATGGGGCACCCTTCCATGACAGTTTGCTCATGAGATTCATATAGATGAGCGCCCATATCGCTTCTGTTAACGAACTCTCGATGGTGTTCAAGGGATTATTAGGTTACCACAAAAAAAAAAATGTCCTGTGTGTGATCTGATGTCCTGAAAATCAAGAAAGAATTTCAAAAGATTTTTGTGGCCACTAAATATGTTGCGAATTAATTCAAAATTCTTGTTTGTCGACTGAACGATTTCATTAACCGCCACATCAAATAATTTTCCGTTAGTTCGCATACATAATTAATTAAAACATATTCAATGTTAATTATTTAAGCACGTAAAGCTGATTACATAAGATAAACAAAGCGAAATCCGCCATAATTTATAATTACTCGACGCTTATTGACTTACTTATGCAAATGACTTTGTTTTTGCAGTTAATTATCTCATAAGTTCATAATTGTTTGCATTCACTTAAAATGCAACTTAATGAAATAGGCGAGTGACGTGGCTACGATAATTTATTTATGTTTCATATGCTGGCCGCTAAATTGAAATTTGTCCAGGAGCCTCGGCCTGTTAATTTCAGCCCCGCGATTAAATATTGCATTTATTAAGCCGCATCAGTGTGCTGTTCGATGAATACGGAATGGCGCAAATTACAATTAAATAAGTAGTCAATGGCCTGTAAAATGTTGAATTAATATTAATGAAACGACACAATGGCTGGAATAGGTATTCTCGTAAATTATTTGCAGATTGTAGCTTACGCAATTTAAATTCTGATTACGGTCAGACCAATTTCCCAGCATTGAGAGTATTGAAAAAAGTAAATATACTTTTAATTAAAACGGTAATTGTAATTACCTCATCCCGGCCTAGTTATAAAATAGAATTATTCAGTTTCGCCATTGAAAAACGCGATTCGCGCGCACAATTCAAAAGATTATTCGCCGTCTTCTCAACATTTACTCCGAAAAGGGCCGAATCGCCTGGAAACATGGCAACATGTGGCCAGCGATTGGCTTTCCCCTTCGCAATCCAGTCCGAAGGTCGCAATGGCAAAACTACCCCTAAACGGGAAATGAAAATACTACCCCTCACCCTCGCCCTTCTGCGCTGCACATTTAAATCAAAATTAACCACAATGAATATATGTGCAAGCCGCAATCAAGGCAAAATTGCATAAAATATTAAAATGGCAAACGCATTAAATTAACAACAAGCCAAATGCATTAGATTTAATATGGGCTCATGCCCGTTTGCCGAATGCATAATTAATGCCCCGGGCCCGCAAAAGTTTATCAATACATGAATGTCTTGGGGTTGGAAAGTTTTTTAATAAATTAAAATCATAT